CACAACCCAACTTCTATACTTGTAAGGACACTCATTGACAATGCATTTGCTAGCCCTTTACCTAGTCTAAAGTCTGAACCCTGTCTCAAAATGTCCTCACTTTTAAAGTAGGTCCTCTCTCTCAAGGTCTAAAAAACTCAAAGATAAAGGTACAAGTACACCACACACACACATACACAGCACGTAGATACTTACAGGGACGACAGTAGCCATGGAGGAGGGTTTGTGCTCTGTGGTAGGGAAATGATCACCATGATGGGAATCGTTGCCTTCTTATACATGTTGACATGACCAGGCCGGACGATGGGCCAATCATTCTTTAGAAGACAAAATAACCCTGCCTACTTCTGACATCACCACAGTGAGGACACACACGCAAAGACACACACACACACACACACACACACACACACACACACACACACACACATTTGTCCTCAGGTTACACCATTTACACGCAGTCTATTATTGAGGACTCTTTTGTTATGCAGGGAATATTTAGAAGGAGCTGTAACTCAAGGAATGAGGGGGGGGTAAAAAAAATAGGGGAGCATAATAACTGATAGAGGAAGAGAGACAGGATTGGGACTTTGAGGACAGACGGATGTCAAGAAAGAAGAGAGATGTGACAAAAGGGGGTATGGGGGAGAGGGGGGGATAAAACAAAGAGAGAGGGCGAGGAGGGGAAGCAGGCGTCACACAGTGTAAGGTGACAATGTGATGCATTGCTGTGTTACGTGTCGTCAATCAATACAATATCACACATCACTGACGGGAAGAGACAACAAAGGTGAGACGGTCTCTCACGCTGATGTGTTGTCTAGTTTGTAAAGGAAACAGGAGAGGGGTCGAACTGCCGACACACACCAAGCCTGATCATTGTCTCAAGACATTATTCAATGGCTTTTAATTGTGTTAAGATACTCAACGATAGGCATAACAATGATGCACAAGATCTTGAGTTGCAACTGTGGATTATTTTTTTGATTTGAATATTCTCCTCCAAGAGGATAGTGCCATTGGTCGCATGTGTCTGTGCGTCCGTGAGTGCGTGAGCGAGTGTGCAGCTCTGTGTCTGTCCCGGCTAACGTCGCATTCTGCTGCAGAAAGCGACAAAATATTTTGTGTGGCCAGTTATGGCTGCGTGCTCAAGGAACTCTCGTGGTTGCGGCAACTCACACTTCACTCAAAATACCTTTTATTGCCTGTTTTATATGACTGCCTGCTGACTCCTCACTCACTCACACTCACTAGTGATAACGCAGCCGAGTGCATCGCCAATCCCCAGCCTCTACTCTGCGGCCAAAGACACAGTGGGGTAAAAACAGTTTGCTCACTTCTGTTGTTTTGGTGTGTGCGGCTATCAGCTAACAACTAACGGAGCTACCGCTACATTGCCACCACTGAGCCCCTGCTAAACGGACAGACAGCATGACAGCACAGTCAAGCTTAAACTCACTAAATCAAGATTGAGAGCATGGCTACAAAGAAAGCTAATCAAAAATGTGAAAAATATGAATTCCCCAAAAAATGTGGCTGGACCCCACCCTTTCCAGGAAAACGCATCCTCATTTTTATCTTATTTTTTTATTTGTTCATTATTATTATTGTAATTTTTTTTAAATAATCATTTTTAAATAATTTAAAAAAATGTTGCCACTTGCCTCTATTGTCTCTTATATTGTCTCTAACACAGGGAACACTGTGCCCAATGCATTTTTTGCCCTGCATTGTTAATCGCGCCATGTCACTCAAATCTATAAAGTTGTGTCTTGTCTTGTCTCACTAAATAAAAAACTGTGCAAGTAAAACATAAAAAACATGAAACAGCTGCATTCTTTGTCGGTGCGTCTCGCTGCTGTCCACGTCGGCTCTGTGATACACCTAAACACGACGGAACCATCCTTAAAAACATTTGTTCCACCTCTCCCTCCCCTGCAATGACGAGTCATAATGCTTGCAACTATTCAAAGTTCAACAGAGACAGCACGCACTGAAGAAAAAGTCAAATTAGAGCACAATCTATTCGTCATAAGAGAACTGAGAGACCTTAAGGACGCACCTGTCTCTACAAATACAAAGCTAAGAATGAGAAGCTATGTGACAACGTTTTCTGCTGACTGCACTATCAATGCTGCTCCCCTTCGCCTGGCCACCTCTCACTCGTCAGCTCGTTGGGATCCACCATCACTTGGGTGTTGAATCATCTGCAGAAAGATGGACTGTGTTTGAAAACCATAAAATGAGATTATGTGATTTGTTTCATGTAATGTTTCCCTAACTCTTTCACTGCCTCTCTGCAGCTGTCTCTTTCACATCCTCCACACATCAGCCATCACTACCTGCAGCCTACACTGTGGTGCTGCTCTGCCCTCTGCTGTTTACTACACCACTATAATCATATTATATAGCAATGTATCGCTTTCTATTGTGTACTATTTGATATTGAAAGCTTGTGTAAAGTATTTTACTGCATGACTGTCACTGGTGTTGCATGCTGATGTAGTGCCTTCCTCATTTTTTGTTGATAAGCCCTATATGACCACTGAGGGATTTAAACTCAATACAGGATTTTAAAATTTGGTAGCACTTTATATGACGCCCATGCCTTTAATGACTTATAAAGGTACTTCTAACGCTTTATAATCTGTAATAAGAACTGTATAACTACAAGCACTCGTAACAAATCCATGTTTTATAACGATAATCATAACCCGTTACGAAGCATTTTATAATGACTTCATAATATACCATATAATAATAATATATGATATGCTTCATAAGTGCTGCAGTCACTCAAGGATCAAATTATATTTGAGACTTTTTCGAAGGAGTCACTTTGGTTGATCAAACATTTACAAAAAAGAAACAATTACAGCTAAAAGTAAAGTAGAACTTGTTTCCATATTTTGAGAAAATTCAGTGTAAAGAGTGAGTTCCGTTATATTAGTGAAATGAAAAACTACCTGTTAAACAAGTAAATTCGTCTTACAATTGTTGTGTGTTATTCTTGGATTTATATATACTTGTTTCTCAATAGAGAAATTTTTTTTTTTGTTTTATTTATAAAGCAAATATTGTTTGCTTTATGTATATATACATAAAGCAAACAATAACCACTCAGTCACTTTTATCCAGCTTGTAATGTAATATGTCTGCCTACATCTCAGGAATTACATCACTTCACTTAAAGCAAACAAGGACCACACAGAGTAATCACATTCTAACGCATTACAACAGTGATTACAATGCATTGTAAAATGATTATAATGTACAACTACAACTAGGAATTGAAAACAATGCCATTGAGCGACCAACAATTATGAAGTATTATGAAACTTGACCTAACAAGTCATTATACAATGCTTTAAGATATATTATGATGATTGTCACAATGCGTTATGAGTATGTATAAGTGCTTACAACTACAATTATACACTGTCATAAGAAGATTATAACACATTGCAAGGACATTTACAATGCATTATAGAAACGGGCGTCATATAGAAAGTGTTTCCACATTTTGAGAAATTGCGGTGACTCCTCGTAGGCCTATTGGTATTAAAAGTGTGTTTTTAGGCAATGTGCGCTGATATTACTGTGTTGAACGGTGCGAGAGATGTGTTGCTGTTCATGGCTCAAATAAAACCATCGACAGCTTACTAGTAACGTCTGAACCATTTTATGAAAGTGAAAATTTGATGGAAAACTCTTAAAATGACTGCAGGACAAATATACAATTCTCATTTTGACGTAATTTCCTCCACCGTGGTTTTTGACAGCACATCGCATATTCACCAAAACACGCAGGACGGCGCTCGTGGACAAGTGCTGGGTCTTGACTCTTAAATGCTGTTGCGCAGTCAAACCTGTTTTTCATCGGCAACAATAGAATATTGTTGGAATGTGTTTCCTACGGCACAGTTGTATACGTCAGGTGACAGGTCTGTCGTTATTATCTTAATGATGATAATAATAACAATAATAACAACAAGTCCCCACAAACCTCCACGCTAACCATCCCTAAAACAATGCCCTTTCAAACTTGGATGATATAGAAAATTCGTACATTATTATTATATTATATTTTCTTGTATTTATTGGGGCTCACCTGCGGAATAGAGTATTTTCGACAACACGTGAATGCCTCAGATGAGCTCATCTGCCAGGTCAAGATAACGCATAGAGAGATGCGTAAACAAAAACACGCCCTCTGTTTTTAAGAGAAAGTAGACCCAAATGTACGATACACTAGATCACATACCTTCAAAATGTGACTAAGTAACTCTGTCTGTAAAAGGAACATTTTAGTTTTGGAGAAGACACGAACCCGTCAGTGTTCAGAGTGCGCAAAATGAGTTTGTGTTGAGGAACTGCTATAAAGGTCAGGGTTATTTTAATTGAGATCTTTATTTAGATGTATCCGAATTTTTATTTTAGACCTTAAATTCCTCCCCCTAAGGGCATATATCTTATCTTACTGATCAGGAAGTGATGACAGGCTACATGACAGTTGTTGTGTTTTATGATACTCTTTATTTGAACGTAAATTTGAATAATCCACATTGAGACATGTTCATTTGTTTATAGAATACCATTAAATTCTAAATTGTTATCAGTTTGCTTTTCAAAGCAGACTTGAGGTTTGGAGTATCTTCACTGTCGCTCCGAGAGTTGTTTTTTTCAAAGCAACAGGTGCGTCTGGATGTGATGCTGCATTCATGGAACATGTATGAATCGGGTACCCATGATAGTCTTACATAAAACTCGTCCTTTGACAGCTTTGAGGTGGATGATAGTGTTCGAGACAGCTAATCTGTGTTTACACAACAAGAGCGACCCTCCAGGGAGGCAATATTATTTAGACGTTTCAGGTTTCGAAGCAACTGTAGGCTGCTGTGACTGTCAATACAGTCGTATCTACGATCTTTTCGGAGTGGTTGAACGCCTCACAGACCCCGCCCCTCGTGGATAGTTGGGAGTTTTAGTGCCAACGGAGAAGTTGAACTGTCAGGCGAGCAGTCAGGTCTTTGGCCCTCCGAGGAGGTCTCTGTGCTCCCCTTCCTGTGTTCAGTTGTTCGGTTCAAGTGGACGCCAGTCTTGCAAGTCCACTGTCAGTATGTCGCCGTCCACGTCTCCGCTGTTCTTCACGGAGAGGGAGGTGGCCCGCCACAGGACCAAGGACTCCTGCTGGGTGCTGCTGGGGACCCGGGTGTACGACGTGACCTCTTTCTTGCGGATGCACCCCGGCGGTGAGGCGCTGATACTTGGGCGGTCAGGCAAGGACGTTATCCGGGAGATGGAAGGTCCCCCGCACCGGCACTCCGAGAACGCCCGGCTGTGGATGGAGCAGTACTACATCGGGGAGCTGGACAGAGACAGCGGCGCCGACGAGGCACAGGTAGAATAGAGGGGGGGGGCTGACATTACTGACCTCAGAGCACAAATCAAAGAAGAAGAAAAACCTTCTGCTAGGAGGGTCGTCAGGGTGTTGCCTGCGTTGTGTCTTATAAGTGTTAGAAACTGACAGGGGTCTTAATTTTTCTTTAATTACACTACATACAGTAACTCATTATCTTGGTAGAAGGTTTCTCGTTGTTGGAATCTTTTCTCCTACTTAAGCAGCTTCAGTCTCCAGAGTGGCACAAAATGACACCATTTAAAGACCTAATTATTAGAGAATAATCATCATGTTTGCACGCAGTGCCACACGCCTTCCTGTGTTTAAATGTCGACGGTAAAAACTAACTAAGACTTTTTTTTTTTTTTTTTTTTTTTTTTACAATCTTCTTTTAAATAGTCAAATTAGAGGAAGAATGTTGCCCTCTGAGCTAAATATTTCTCACACTGAGCAAACAACACACTTGACAGCCAGGACCTGCTCCCATCGGTGGGGTTTGAAAGCCGAGAGGGCCCGATGGCTCTGTGAGGAACAACAGGTGTCCCCCAGCTTGACTTTACTGGGCGTTTCTGTGGGACAGAGAGAGAAAAGGAACTCCCTCCTCCTCCTCCTGGAGTGTTGATTTTAGGGGAGGGAATGAGGAGTTAATGGAAAAAGACATACAGGGCCAGGGTATCTGTTTCGATGCTTGGGTCATTTCTTTAGGGCAGGGGTCTTCAATGTTTTTCAGGCCAAGGACCCCCAAACTGATAGAGAGATGGAGCAGGGACCGCTGACTATATACATTGTATAAAATTGTGTTTTATATTAAATGGGCCGAGTACCGTGTATACTGTACCTCTTTATTGTGCATTCAATACTAAGCTATTCAAGTATTACACAGGTTCATATATTCATGTTTTTATTTTAAACATGTGCAAGGTACAGTGAGTAGGGTGGCCATGCCACTGCCATTTATAAACATACCTTGTCAGCTGATAGCAATGCATATATGAACATTGTCAATTGCATGATAATCATGCATACAAGCTATTCAAATTGATGTTTTCATTTTAAACATAAATGTGGAAATGAAAAATGAGTGATAGCCTATCACCGCCACTGCCATGTATAAAGATACATGTTATCTTTCATACAATACTGAACTATTAAAATAATGGACAGATTCATGTTTGGAGAAAAAAAAATAATTACAATTTTTTTTTTAAATTGTCTAATCAACCAAAGATTTTCGCGGACTCCACACGGCCTCTATTCTCTGTGCGCGAGGAGGGACAAACCCAGACAGTTTGCATAAATCTCTCGCCAACAGAGTTGACATTTACATGGCTTTCCCAGAGCCCACTCTCACTTGTGTGTGTGTGTGTGTGTGTTCCCGCCTGTCGGTTGCGTATCGGCACACAAAGTCGACACAATTGCAGTAACAAAAGCCATTTTCCTCTTGTCTTTTTATAAATCCTTAATGGAGCGTCACGCTTCAGTCACTCCACTACTAAAAAAAAAACTTTTGGACTCCTTTTTTTTTGTCCGTCTGCTTTTAGATACATACACAAACACACATATGTGTGAATGTATCAACTGTATGGAGGATGAGTGTGTAAACAAGGGGCACCGGAAGCAGGGGGTTCATGGAGCCATTGGGAGCTTAATTGCACGGTCACACACACACACACACACACACACACACACACACACACACAAGGATAAAATGTCCCATTAACAAATGGTACACCTACCCCACATTTTCTTCTTGATGGATTCTTAATCATTGGACTGCGTAACAGTGAATGGCATTTCCACCATGCAGCATAAATAAGGAGTGCAGGAGCAGCAATGTGTGAACTTTGTGTCAGTGTGACTTTAAATGGGTTTCATTTGTGCTTGGATCGCATCCAACAGAAAGGTCAGTTACAGAGCGAACGCCTTCATGTTTATTTAAAAGAGACAAAGCAGCTTTGCCTTTTGTGGTTTTCCTTTTGTGGTTTTCCTTGTGATGCATCATTGATACAGCGGCATTGATTGATCAATTATTTATTTACTCTTTGAAATTAGTCCAAAACCCGAAAAATTATTCATCGACTATTGAAGAAAACCAGCAAATCTTGTCGTTTGAGAAGGTGGGACGAGGGTATGTTTGGTGTTTTTGCTTGATGATAGTTAGAGATGCACAGATTTGACTTTTTCCAGTTCCAATATGGATTTCGATACCTGGGCTTTGGGCATCGTCCAACACCGAGAACCGACCCAATACCAGTGTTGAATTAATACGCTGTGTGCGTCACTGTGTGCGAGTGGCTGGGAGCTTTTCTTTTATGTGCAAGGCGACACCAGGCTTCACTCAGTCAAACATTGCTTTCCTAACTTTGTAGATCAAAATGTAACAAATGAGTACAAAATAAAATGAATACATGGATATAAATTGTTACTTATTATTAAAATAATGAATCGCACACCAGCAACCCAGTGGAAGAAAAACTTTGAAAGAACACGAATTACAATTCAAGTGTAAGGCTTACACTCGACACACGCTTATAGTGCAGCAACATATTGGTTAAAACTGAAACATGAATTATAAATGTATATGTATATATATTTATATATATAGTATATAAATATAGAACTCAATCGAATAGATCAGCCCTATTGTTACAAATACCCGATCCAGCGATTTGAGTCAGTGTCGGCCTGATATCGGTATCAGTGCATCCCTAAAAAAAAACAGACACAGATTCATTTTTTGGGCGATAGACGAATCAATCGCTCAACAAATAATTTCAGAGAATAAACACAGTACAAACCTGACTCTTGCTTTGTAAATAATGACTGGGCATTTGTTAGCGGTATGTCGTCGCCTTCGGTTACAGATATCGCTGAGTCACCTGTACGGTGAAACCGTTGTTCTAATGGCCTAAAATAAGGCTGTTGTGTCATATTGTGGGTGTGACCTTGAGATTCTCAGCCCCATGGCATCGCTGTTAATTAATTACCACCACGAATCATTTTTACACTGGCAATGCACTCAAATCCTAGCTGTTTGCTGCGATGAAGTCCTGCTCTTTAAGGGAAGACCTTGTCCACTAAGGGGTTAAGCCCAGAAGAGGGTGCGGCCTCAGGGGAGACCGCTCTGCTTGCACTCTGCCGCACAGGACAAAGTGTTTGATCAGACTATAAGAAAATGGTATTTAGCTCGGTGGAGGTTACGGGACTTGCATAACATTGTGTTTGAGGTTGCTCACAGTACAAACAGACGGAGATGGTATCCTTCTTGTTTGCATAAGTAAGAATATGTCTTTGTTTGAAAAATGTGTTCCTCAGAATCTCAAAGCTCAAATGCATCGGTCAAAAGACGTCACACGTCTGTCCGCCAGTGCTCAATAATCGATCCTGTTGGACAACATTTGCTATTTGAATCTATCCAAATAGCAAATGTGTCTCTGTTTACAATCAAACAGAGGTGCTGTTTATACTTCAACACATGGAACTGTTTTTATAATAGGTGCTGATTGCCTCCATTCAGAATTTGTGTCATCGTGTCAACTGTGGAGTTGTCGGAGGCGCAGAAACACTCCACCAGCTCATGAACAGTCTTTGGCAGAGTGCAGACGCCGGCTGCAGAGAGAACAGCTGACGTTCTCTGAGATTAAAGCAGCCGATTTATGAGAAGAAACAAATCATTATGCTGTTTTCTTCTGATTAGGCCCCATTCACGTCAGTGTCTCTACACAATGCAGATGCTGATAATATTGCTAATTGATCATCCACAGCAGGCGTAATACATAATATGGACTAATTAATTATATTCATGTTCTCGCAAGTTAATGATTTAATAATCTCAGGAACTATTCAAGTCTTTTTCCCGTAAATTTGAGTTTTTTTTCCGTAAATCTACCACTTTATTCTCGTAAATTCTGTTTAGGTTTGGGGTTAGGCTAAAATCATGAGTGTTTCCTTATTGCTAAAGCTGATGGCAGAGTTTAGTTTACTTAGGTCATCCACTGCAGGCGTAAAGCGGCAGCGTCTGTGGTGAGATGAGGTTGATCCAAACTCGACAAGTAAAGCGATGTGGTCCCTGGGCCAAAATAACCCACACGTTTTTTTCGAGTAAATTTGTGACTTTTTTTCTTTTAAATTGACCACATACTCTTTGTGAGTCTGAGTTTATTTTTGGAATATTGCCTCCCAACCCCCCAATTTCTTTTTGAAGTGTTTTGGCAAAACAGACCCCAAAGTTGAGGCAGAAACTTGTGTAACAGCGCTCCTGAGTAACTCCAAGCACCAGTGTGGTGGTATGTTGCCTTGTGTGCATTTGTTCATCGCAGACTGAGTTGGGGGGAGAGATTGAGGGTGGTTGGGAAAGAACTTGGTACAATATTAACAGCAAGCTCAATATTCATTTTAACAATTGCAGTGTGGCAAATGTTGGCAATGGTTAGTCATTTATTTGAAATCAGCATTGGAGATATTCCGATACCATCTTTTCCTTCCAGAGACCGATATCTGAACTTGAATCCGATACCCGACGTCAGTGTAAACCGTCATCCTTCTACTTTGTTATTGCCACCTATAGTTGTTATTTACATAAAAACACAAATATCTATTCTATATTGCTGCAGACAACATCTCCTTCAAACAACTGGATTTATTCAAGTTTCTCGCCAAAAACTATATTTTTCAAGAGTACGTTTTGAATACGTCATTATAAAGTTATGATTTACCATTGCCCAATATAAATTGTTACCGAACAGAGCTTGAACGCATCGTAATGTAAATTAATGGAACCTCCGTTAACGTTTGCCGTTAGCTCGACTGTGCTGCCCACCGGCCGCTAACCGCTAACGTTAACTAGCTCTCCTCGTTTTGGTTACGTTGTATTTATTTATTAAAGAGGCCATTATAGACCCTCTGAATATGAGCCAATCACACGAAAGCATTTTAGGCTCTGGTCGGTGTTCTGTTACATCCAGCTGTACATCACACAAGCGCCCATGTAATCAGTCCCC